AAAGAACCCCAGGTGGTCGAAATTTCCGTAGCCCTCCACTACGGCGTCTGTCATAATCATATAGTGGTTTTGGGACGTTAAACCCCACATATCAATCAATAATGTGCCTGTCAAAGAGACTTCCATGAACTTCATATGAAGTTCGCTTTGTACGCGAAAACTCATCGAACTCGCCACAGTGCGCGCCAATAGGGGTCTATAAAGTTATCTGCGGCTAGTTGGCACTATGCTTAAACAGCGCATTACAATGCAAACGCAGAGAAGCACTGTCAGTGTTGGTTACTCCTTTTTTGTATAACTCGTCGCTGTGTGCAACGCGTCTGATGAGAACTTGGGCGTTTCGCCCATCGCATGGTTCGAGGAACGGCGGCGATCTGTTTCGGTTCACCACCGTCGCGACTGTGCAGCTCGAGCGCGTTGCCGGCGAGTAAATCGCACGTATAGCTGTGCAGTTTCCGAACGACGCCGTCACTGTACTTCGGCGGTTCCTCTTCGACATAACACCGTTCTGGAGAGAACACTTTTTGCGACGACGTCAGGTGAGAGAGAGAGCACGAAACCGCCAATTACTCCCGCCACGGGCAGCCTCGTCGTAGAGCAAACCCTCCCTTTCAGCCTGATCGCGGGCTGTGTGTGCATCTTGACAAGCTACCTCCGGCCGACCCTTCTTGCGGCCGTTTCTTTGCACGTCTGTGACTCAGGCCGTGAAACTTGTTCGCGCTCGGTGATCGCTGCCGGCCATCACGCGGCCTAATTAGTTACCTCCGAGAGCCGATGTCTTCGATCTTGCTGGAGGAGGAGAAATGTTATTACTTTTTTGCTTTTGTCTCGTCACACTGGCGCGAATACGCTTCATGCGGACCTCGTCGATTGTGGGGCTGCGGAGCAATATTTCTTGTATATCTACGTGGACGCGCCCGCCGACTTCTCTCTCACTTACTCTCTCTCGTTTCGGGTAACTATGTGAACTTCGAATTCCATAATTTCATTCTTGCTTCGATCCCGGGAAAAAAACTGACCCCAGGACATTCCATTTGCTCCGGTTGGGCGCCCCGAAGGTGGGGTTACGTCGTCACTGTTTGAGTAAGCGCTGCTTGATCAAGCGGTGCGTACCGCTGCGTCATCATCGTACTCCTGCGGGTTTCGCCGTACTAGTGCGAGTTGCGCCCACATTAAGGAATGAGGCAGAAATTCTAGAATTGGTTACTGACACTAGCGAGGTTGAGGTTGGTGAAAAAATCGCAGCTCATGCGGGCGAGCACTAGGAAATAAAGCAAAAAAAAAAGGAAAGTCGAGAATGTCAGAAATAGTACTTAATATATATTATTGATAGGTCACCTTGTGTTCTTATCGCCAGTCTTAAGAGAGGGGCCGATATTCTTGCTTTGTGCGATTATCTTTTCGGGGTGTTATGATGATGTAGTTAGTATTGTTTTGTGGCGCATGGGCCAAGCCTGGTCAAAGAGCTCCGTGACAATTTCAAGGTGTTTTAGACACCTCTTCTGTGGCGTTCGGAGCTGCCGTCTCTGCAATTTCGACACCACAAAAGGGATCGCCAGCCTGTACGTCGTTCGCGGCGCAACTTCTTCGACGCGGCGGCCAACTTTCGAAGGCGCGGTCGGTGTGACAGCGACGAGGGGGAAGCGGACGCCGGATGTTGCACACCGGCGCATGTTTGATGCGCTCTTCTTCTTCTTCGGCGTCGACGGTGCGGGCCGTGATTGATTCATTAATCACGCCGTGTCTGGTCCACTGCGTAAACAAGTCGGCGTCGTTCGCGACTCCCGTGCTGCCCCGACTTAGGCGCGGGCACGCTCTGCGGATCACCGCTCCCCGCTACACTAATAGGCTTTAATTCGGCCGCCGTGACCGCTCCTCCCAGATTCGACGCCTGCGCCTTGGTTCGGGAGTTCGGAAAATTGCGGCACCTTGTTACACCAGTACGGTAGTTCTTGCGGATCAGGTGTTTTTGTTTGTGTGAGTTGTGTGCCCTTATTTATTATAGTTTGGAGCGGTTACTTGGCTATCTGTTGCCACACCCGCCTGTCTGCTTTGTTGGAGGTCGCAGTTCGCGCTCGGTGGCTCGCCTTCCAAGGCGGACAAGGGTGATATGCCTGATTTTTTTTTTCCATATACAAATTAATCGATTCATGATCGAGGAAAAAGAAACTTCATTGTGAGTGGCAGTAGGAGAAATATAGGCAAAAAAGAGTGTACTTAGTTATTTTTATTTTGCCCCCAACTATCGCTTCTTTGAGCTGGAGACTTTCTTCCGTATTACATCAGCCTGCTTAGCCCAGTGTTCGTGCTTTAAATAATAAAAGTCTGCATTACAGTGTTTCGTGGCCATGTGTTACCGTATAGGCGTGCCACACGCTTCAGCGAAACTTTGATAACGAGGCTCGATAACAAGGCTACAGTCTCTCACTTCTGATACACTCAGGTCGATTCAATCATTTTATTTTAAACCATGCAGACTCTTGTGTACTTTACAGTTTATTTCGCGGTGCTTTGTTTTTGTCGCAGCCGTTAATGCAGAGCAGTAAGTTCAGTGGCGAATGTTGTGGCGATACAGGAATTAGCATATGAAAAGAAAACGAGGCCGTTGACGGCAGCTTGTGCCAACGAGCGCAATAATGGGTAGGTATACGTTCAAGGTTTTTCAATTAGGTGTACATTCGCGTTAAATGCTGAAGCTTAATGTGAGAGCTGTATCTAGCGATCAACTCGGGCTCTCTCACGAGTAACCTCGGATGTATCAGTTGGTATACGAGCCGATTGTTCAAAATTAGCACGTGCTGACTCGGTTGGCAGTCTTTCTCTCTGTCTGCTTTTCATTTTGTCATGACGTCAACGTGAAATTGCATTTAAAAAGCATAATTTTCAAGCACATTTTGCACTTGGAATCATGAACACTATATGATAGACAAGACTAGCTCTTACCAACCACTACCGGTTATTCACGGTGAACAGAATGCTGGAGGACCATGACGAAGTGGGCTGCGCGAAGTTGGCTTTCGCACTCTTTTAGGGGCGAAGCTCCTTAAGGCGTGGGCTGTGCGTCCCCTGTATGTAGCCACCTCTCGTTTAGTTCTTGTAGTCTTCACTAGATGGCGGTACTTGTAGCTGATCATGAAAAGATGCAAGATGTTATAAACAAGACGGCGGTACTTGTAGTTGATGATGAAAGATGCGAGATGTTATAAAACAGGAGTGATGTCACATATGGCGCGTGTCGTTGGTGGAAGGCAATCGTTCGATTTAGTGCGGCGACGTACGCTAGGGGGAGCGTTGTAATAAAGTCGAGTGGGCAAAACGTACGGGGGATTCATGGTTTGCCAGGTTTACCTCCGGAGCTTCGCCCACTCATCATCATTCACTTCGTGGATATGGCGGGACTTTTTTTCGTTAGCCTATTGTTGCGGTAATTTTATCCGTTTACAGTCGCACTCAATACGAGTTCCAACATGGTGGCCGCGGTTGAAGGGAGCGCTTACCAGCATGAACGAGGACACCAACATTCGTTAAATTGGTTCAGTAGCTACCACAATCTGAAAACAGTGTTTAATTCACAAATCTATCATGTGTGTCGGCACTGCTTTGCAGTTTTGGCGCCAGTTTGAGCGCGGGCGACATGTTCGAGCGCGGACTGCATGTACACTTCGATCCACGCGTCTCCACCAGAAAGGCGCTTCCCTTTAGAAGTTTCTATTCAGATCCTCCTCAGAGAATTCGGCTTCGTCGGCTGCGTTCAGCATATATAAAATAAACAAAGGAGCGGCGACAGCCAAAGTTCTCGAGAACGAAGGTGCTGAAAGGTTCCGGGCTACGAAATGAAGCGTGAATAACAAATGCGTATATTAAAAGCCGTATCGAAGGCGGCCGGTCTCCTTTGGTGCCATCTGGCGGCGTCCCTCTTGGGTTTCTTGGCGGGGCATCGCCTGCTAGGACGTGGACTTTAGTGTGGTCCGGCCGTTCAAGGAGGAACGGCTTCAGGAGAGTGTTCCGTGACACTGGCGACGACTGTACGTCTGTCCGGGCGGAGGAGGGAAAATATACGGCTCTAATAAACGGTCCTGGCTGCCGCCGCCTCGAATGCCGCCTGACTTCGTTTCCGAAGTCAGCCACCGTCGCCGTCGAGGCGACCCTTTCTCCGTCGCCTGTCCGCGTCTGCTATCGCGACGCCTCGTGGTGCGCGGGATTTCGTTCTTTGTTTCTTTTACTTCTTCGTGCCTTGTTTATGAATGACAGGCCGACCGGATCACCCCTCCTGCACGAGCGTGATGGGAACGTGGGGCGGACGTGCACAGACTGATAATAACGGCCCCTTTTCCCACTTTTAGTACGCTTGCTCTCTCTCGCCGGTACCTTTTCTATGCTGCTCTACGTTTGCTAAACAGTGCTGCTGTTAAAAAAAGATAGCACTACCTGCATGAAACGAGGTTTCGTATAAAGTGAAAATCACGTTTTCGTTCTTTGAATGGACAACTACGAAACAGTAGTAGGCTGGCAGTATAAACTTTCGTCCTGTTGCGCCTTAGTGCTGGCATGAGTTTTGATTGTGTGATCACACGTACGAAATTCACCGGAGGCTTCTCTTTGCCCGCTGCATCTCTATTGCCAATGTGCATCAAAGTGGCATGCACTTAATTTTTTTTTTGAGACGACGTCGAGTAATTTCGTTTTGGGGTGCTGTGATTTACAGTACGTACAGTGAGCATTACAATTACAGAGACATCTTCAAATGTCTACAGTCGACAGTTGAACATGTCTTTTCAATCATCAAACTCACTGTAGATATTGTAAATAGTGTTGTTGTATGCCTGCTGATTTCGAAATAATTTTTGGATGCGAACCTACGGTATACCCGGATAACTTAGGTTAGCAGAGCGGGAATCATATTTCTGCTGACCTTTCTACCTCTCACGTGTTACTGCTCTGTCTTTAAATCCCTTTGAAAATTCAAATTACTGACTTCCCTTTTCTTTTTGTCTTTGCAGGGAAAAAACACCGAGTTCAGTCGAGACTTTAAAGTGGTAAGTGATTTTTCCTTTGGTCGTCACGCATGTGAGAAGTGCAGCAACATGTCTCTATTTTATTTGCAATTGCTCATATAACGTTCGTGGCACATCCGGTGCACATTTTCGTATACGCACGGCTCTTCTGATGTAAATTCACAATCGCGAGCGTTTATTTTTGTTTTGTTTTTTGTACTACACACATGTGCACGCGCGCACATGCAAATGTAGTGCCGCGTGTATGGGCAAATTGCGACGACACGGAAGTTGTGCGAGCGTTCTTGGTCCAGAGCAGTGGCAAAGAAGAAGTCTTTCCAGCGATTGATGAAGTGCATTTGTTTGTGGTGCTCCGTGTCGTCGATCTCACATCGCTGTAGTAACACTTGCAGGACATTATAGCCTTTGGCCCAATAAGCGATCGTCATCGCTTGGGCTTCTGCTCAAAAGGCCCTCATTGTGGAGAAGCGAGATCTCGCGAAAGTTCTTAGCGGGTTGCTCTCACAGGCACAATAGTCAGTTTTACGCTCGATCCGAAGTTCACGTGTAGGCACCTACTTAAATAAACATAGCCGAGTGGCTTATGCGCCGAGTATTATGTCGCCCACCACAGCGAGGGGAGATTTGGGCATCATTTGTCGCGTCCTGTGGCCGCGCACGACAAAACTTCTACATTAGATAGTTAAGTCCCCATGTGAGTGCACGATCGAGTTTCGACAAGTTTCTTTTCACGGAGATTGCTCGGGCGATAACATTCAGATTAGACTGGCGTGAAAGGTATTCGAGGTATGAATACCTGAGCGTTTTTCATTGCGAGTGTTCCGTCAATTCCGGAAGGTTCCTCACTGATGCAGTTTTAGTGGAAGGTTACTTGGTCCACCCTTAGCGTTATATAGTCTACTTATCACGTTTTGTTTTTGTTTTTTTTTGTGAATACTCGGCTTGTGGCTGCTTACACTTGCCTTATATTACCAATACTCACAGCAGTGGTACAAACAGATTTCTGTCAGTGGCAGGCGCCCAGTGTGGTTTATTTGGAACGAGAAAACGCCTTTAGGCACGGTGCAAGAATTTCTTAATGCATGCTCGAGTGTGTGAAAACGTGTCCTTTCCGCGCACTGTGAAGGAACGACGAAGGAGCTTGTAGCTAACGGCGTCAGTCTTTACCGTCTATCAGCGATATGCGGAACGTAAACTTAATATCCGCCACCTGATGCATGCATTAATGCAGTACCGGCTACCGTTTTGGTTTGACTTTCGCTTGTAATCGACGCCAGTAGCACTTGTTCGCATCATTGTCTCCACTAAAGAATGAATGCTTAAAACGAACGAGCATTGCATCTGTTCAATTGCGAAGAGGTACTGCTTCAGTGACGGTTTATGAGGACAAAGTCGAACTAGCTTTCAAGTGGTAGGACGACCTCTTTCCGATGAACATGTTTAATTGCTGTAATTGCCGAGTATTTTGATGGGTCTTGTGTACGGCGTTGCCTTTGATTTCATATCAAAATTATCAGCAGGCGTGTGAGTTCAGAAAGTCCTGTTTTTTTTTTTTCAAAACATGCAGGCCTTTTCGAACTGGCAAAGAGTACACACTTTACATTTCTTAGCGTGCGTTGCTGCTGCTGCCACTTCATGCTGCCCTGCAGCCCTTTCCCCCTTTCTTGGAATTTAGCTCCGCAGCAGACAGTCTTCAAAGACGCATGCATGTCTTAACGCGGCTTCGGCCGCAGTAGCCTCATTCGATTATAGTGCCCTCGAAGATCGCGAACTGCACCGCTGATCAAAGAGCCGGTAGAGGTTAGATGGGAGAGTCGCCGAGTGCACATACGTGCTTCGGTCGGTGCTGGCGGCGTCACCGCCCTGGGAAGAAGCGGCAATAAACGATGCCCGGAACAATCGGAGAGAGCGCGCGCTGAAGGTGATCGATCAACATCTCGACGATCTTCGCAGAGCCTTCGGCGTGCCCTTGTCTTTACGCGGCGGCGGATCTGCGCGCCGCGTCGGTGGGCCGCAGCGCCAAAGCTCCGTTCCGACAGAATAGGCATCTGATCGACGTTAATTTCGCCCCGTCTCCGGCGGCTCGCTGGCTTCGAGTGCGGCCGTATACTGAAGAGTGTGCGTCGCTCTCGTGGTGCACGTGGGCGGTCGCAGCGTGCGCGCGGAAGCGAGCGGCTTTGGCGTTGTGCACGACTTGCGAGGAAGCGATCTTTCCTCGCTCTTTACCAGGGACTGTCACGTCGAGCGTACACGCAGCTATATAGTCAGACGAGTTTGGCTGGAGTGGTGTTGCCTTCGGAGAGGTGTCTGCGCGCGATTCACCCGAGTGGAGGGGATTCGAGATAAGGGGCCAGTGAACGACAGCTGGTCTTGTGCTGAAGTCTTACCAGGATCGAGACGTTGGTGACAATTCGGATATTGCAAACAGCAGTATTCCTTGGGCAGTGTCCTGTAAGTTTCCTCAAAAGGGTGGTCCATCTCGGAGCTCGTTAATTGGATTGGGTTTGATAGCCGCGGTTACGACTGGCGTTGGTCTGTTTGCTCTCAAGTTGTCCTGGCATTGAATGTCCACATAAAGAATTCTTACAGACAGGCCTCCCGGTCTTACAGATAGTTCAAACCTGACAAACAGCACAAAATGACGGTCATTCTTCAGTTAAACGTTTATAATGTTTGGCGATCGTACGTTGGCGTCAACTAGAAACATGAACATGCATGAAACCCGTCATCATGCGCCCCATATATCCCGAATTATAACTAATCTATTTGAGTGCTGTAATACCAGAGCCGCGCTCGGTCACATCCTATGGATATGTCCAGCATTAATCAGCAATACTGGTGTCGTGGCCTCCAATGAAGGCCTTCGAGCATTTTGACTGACTGCGCGGATCAGTTCTGGCCTGGAACAACAATTCTAGGCGATCCGGCAGACCGGAGAATCTGCCCAGAGACATGGTATCTCCGTAATCTTCTGCAGCCCAGCAATATGGCGGACATTAATAAAACTTTCTCCTCGGTTTCTTTCATCATGGGGTCACTGCGTCGGCTTTGCTTGCAGATGGAGAAGCGTCTGTTTACACCTTCGCTTCATTTAATCACGAAGTTTTTTTCGTCCTGTAAGACGCACGGGGGGGGTCAGCGTTGTCGCCAAGCAGGTTCGTCTCCTCGCGACCCCTTCTCTCTGCCGAGGCAGCGGGATGTCGTGATTAATTGAACGCTCGTCCGTCTCCCCGCTGCCTGATTTCCGTCGATTGACGTATCGCCACCCGGTGCGCGGGCGAGGAGGATGTTTCCGGCTGCGGCCGTCGAACGACGCAACCACAGACCTGTGCGTCGTCTCGCAAGACCGCCGCATGCTCACGGCATCCGTGAATGGCGCCGTACGTCACTGCCTCGTTCGTTTTCTCGTGGCGCGCGCTACGCTCGTAGGGTTGGGCGCGTACTTGCCTCTTCCTCGGTTGTTGTTGAGGCGCTATTTCTTTTTGTTGCCCGTTCGTCGTGAATGAATGGGCCGACCTCTTCCGCCAGCTCACCTCACCGCCGCCGCCGTGCTTACGCGTCTCGTTGACTGCCGTTCAATGCTTGCTGTTCTCTTTTCCGTCGTGGAAACAAGCGTCGCGACGGACTCGGTCGGTGTCGTAGGTGGCCGCTTTGCTTGAAATGTGGCTGTGCTGAATGAGCTGCGCCAGCTGGCAGTGCCGCTAAAGACTCTCGTCAATACGGCTTTGTTGCCGAAGGTCTCTGCGAAGCCATCGAACCATGTAGTAGATGTCGGCTGCGTAGCATTTGAATGCTCGCCAAAGGGCTGCCTTCTTCCTACTGTCTCGTCACAAAACTCTGGTTGCTGATTACATCAGCAGTGATGCTGCTTCCACGAACTTGCTATTGCGCGTTAAAGCTCGGCTGACAACGAATGCGTACATTGCCATACTTTTGGTTTTTAAAAGAATACTCTAATGAACTCTGTATTTTGTTTACATCTTCGTTTCCTCACTTCTTGTCTCACTGATGCTTCCCCTAGTCTGGTGTAGCAAACGAATCGATTTATGTTCCAGAATTTACCCAGCTTTCGCCGCCCACTTCAAACCACTGTCAATTTTACTGCTAATGGTGAGCGCGTTTTGATGACCTTTAAAATAGTTTAATCGATGCTGCTTTCTTTTTCGTCAGTACACCCATTTGTATCAAACATTATATAATCCCATGTAGGAGCGTCTTTCATGTTAGCACTCATAGCTTCCTTTCGCCGAATTTCGATCTCTCTTCTTTTGTATATGCCAAAAATTAGAAGAGGGGAGACGAGAGATGCTGAAAGATGTGCTCTTGTTGGACGATCAAGTAAACATTCCTCATTGCTGCACGTATGCTTGTATCGTCTACCTTTAATGATCCAACATTAGCGGTCCAATACCACAGAACATCGCACATTCGCTTTGATAAGAAGGGAGCGGTCGCTATACTTCAATCGATGAGGCATGTGCCACCATTGAGTCTAAGCCTCGTGCAACGCACGCATGGAGTGCTCGTACAAGGCGAGCAACGCCAACGAACTATTCGATCAAGCCGGAGTTATTCCGTAGAAACGCCGCGAGTGGACCGTGTACGTTTTTTTTTTTTTTTTTGACACGCTGCTATTGTCAACGCAATGTTTGACGATAGTTATAGCGTCAGAACAAAACGACGACACAGAGACAAGAAGGACCCGAAAGACACGAGCGCTACGTGTCTTTCGTGTCCTTCTTGTCTCTGTGTCGTCGTTTTGTTCTCGCGCTATAACTATCGTCATGCCATACCAACTATAGCCCAAGCTGCCACACTTCTAAGGTACAATGTTTGAGTTGTGTTATGGTTACGAATTTCGCTCCAAATGGTGTCATTCCCCATGCAAGGAGCTGCGAAGCGGAAGGGGCGACTAGCAAGGGTCTATGTACGTCAGTATCGTGTACGTGTGTGCCTTTCTTACGGTTCAGTATGAGGATGAGCGAGAAGGTGTAATGATTTCAGGAAATGGCTCGCTGCGA